TCCCCTTCCTCCCTCCCTCCCTCCCTTCCTCCCTCCCTTCTCACTCCCATTGATGTGTTTTTATCAAATTTACCTCCATTCCTACTTTTCTAGTTCTTTCTTTGTCCCCCTACCACTTTCCCCTCCCTCCCTCCCTCTCTTTCTCTCTTTCTTTCTCCCACCCTTCTTTTCTTGTTCTTCTTCATCTTCTCCTCCTTCTTCCTCTTCTCCACCTCCTCCATTTTTATATTCCTAACAGTGTTACCATGACTATTTTTATATTTATAGCATTTAAACCTTTGTGCCCTTGTTTTAGTATGTTCTGTTTAGTTTGACTTTTATTGTTAACTTTTGTGTCTCTTGGCTCTGATGTTACATACGTTGACAATTTTGATGGCTACTGTTTCTTGCCCTCCAAAAGGCTGTACTGTTTTAACTCCCACCAGCAGAGTCACAAAGAGCAATGATTGTAAATCTTGAAGTGTGTGCTCCTGCCACACTGTTAGACTCCCCACAGTGGGGAGTCTGTTGTGTCGCCTTAGTACTGTTCTCAGCATTTAACACGGTGCTCGGGTCACTGTGGTTGCTCAGGAAATGTCAAGGCAAATAGTAGGTGCATAATGAATACTTGCCAAGCTCTCATTCTTAAAAAGCTGCCTGGGAATGTTAACTGACAGGGTTTGGAAGGCCATCATTTCTCAAATTCACTTGGGAAAATAAGGCTAGAACAACAATAGTTTTTTATTTTTTATTTCAAAAATTTAATGGAGCACTGGGCTGAGCTCCCAAAGTCCAGTCGAAGAGTAGAAGTGAGAATATGAACAAAGAGATCAGGACCATGATGGGGATACCTACTGAAACAGTTTACCTGAGCTAGTGGGAGCCCACCAACTGCAGTTGGATGGAGGACAAACCAACATAGGACCAAACTAGCCCCTCTGAATGTGGGTGACAGTTGTATGGCTGGGGCAGACTGTGGGACCACTGACAGCGGCACTAGGATTTATCCCTACTGCTTGTACTGTTTTTTTTTTTTTTTTTTTTTGAGAACCCACCCTCTCTGGATGGATACCTTGCTCAGCCTACATAGTAGGCAGGGCTTTGGCCCTTCCCCAAGGCAATGTGCCTTACCCTCTCAGATGAGTGGACGGGGGTGGGTGAGGTGGGGAAGAAGGTAAAGGGAAGGGAGTGGGAACTGGCACTGGTATGTAAAATGAAAAAAAGATGTTTGTTTTCTTATCTTAAAAAATAAAATAAAAAATGTGGAAAAAATTTTAATTAATTTCTTTAACATAATGGGAATACCAAGAGGGGAAAGGACACCTTTCTCTTTGTTGGTATGCTGAAATTGGATAATGCACTTTTGCAGAAAAATGAATGTGAGTCTCCTTAAGGAGGCTGAGTATCTTCACTCTGTTCTCCATTAATTGTCCCCTACTCTGTGATCTCAATAGATCTAGCATTTGTGATCTAGCAAATGTCAGGTCTGCTGCCAACATCTGCTTCTTGTGATTGAGAGACAGTGAGGCATGATTTAGTCTCATTTGCGGATCAGAAGACCTGGCTTAGTTTGTTCTGTGACAGGGCAGGTTGCCTTACCTTTCTGCATCTTGAAGTCTTCGTCTCTGGAATGGGATTTCTTTGATGTTTGCTTCTTGGCCGGTTGTGAAACAGAGCACATCACATGCAAACCGTTAGCTGCACGGGATCTCACTGGCTCCACAAGACACCATGGAGGAGGAAAACAGTATTTTCTCTCCCCTCTCTGGTTCTTTGCTGGGATTCTCTGCAACAAAAGGCATCAACAAGGGAATAACAGAAATCTTATGACATGCATATTCTCTTATACATGGGAGAATCAATAGTCTCTCTTTTAATCTTAGGGGTTATGTTACCAGAATGAAGTAGCTGTTTGAAACTATAAATACAATATTATCTTAGTCACTGTTCTATTGCTGGGAAAAGACACCATGGACAAGGCAACACTTACAAAAGAAACATTTAATTGGGGGCTGGCCTCTAGTTTTAGATGTTAGTCCATTATCATCATGGCAGGGAACATGGTGGCCCACAGGTGGACGTGGTGCTGGAGAAGTAACCGAGAGCTACATCCAGAAACATGGGCTTTTGAAAACCTCAAAGTCTACTCCTAATGACACACTTCTCCCAACAAGCTCACACCTACTCCAACAAGGTTACACTTCCTAATCCTTATAATTCTTTCAAATAGTTCTGCTCCATGGTGACTAAGCATTCAAATATATGAGCCTATGGGTACCATTCTCATTTAAACCACCACAAATACTATATTTCTCACACAAATGCACTGTGATAAAGTTTAACTCAGTAAAGACAGTATATAGTAAGGGTTTAGCACCAACAATAAATAATAAATGAAACGATATTAATAAAATATAAAAAGTTGACTAAATAACCATTGGTCTTACGTGTTACAAAGGACTTGCTGAAGTCTTTACATAGTGTCAGTGGTTTTGGATATAATGTGATACACTAGTTATAATGGATTTTCTACTGATATCTGTAACTCACAAATTCAGTGTCTTTTCACATCAAGTAAGCTCTTTTTCACTAGGCTGTAACTTTGGAGACTGTGGCACGCCACGTCCGCCAGCAGAAGAGACGACCACAACAGGATTCTTCTTAGAACACACTTTATTGGGAGCACACAACTTGAGGATGATGGCGAAGGACCCAGATCCCAGGCGCGCACTGCTTATAAGCAGTGGAGAACAAAAGCCATGACGTATCCGTGTCTGATTGGTCTAGGCCCCTCCTGAGCATACGTACGGGTCGGCTCATGATTTGAGGCTGGATCGCGCCACTGGGGGGAGGGGGGGGACGCGCGAACCGCCTCAGGGCGAGGCGGACGGACGCTTGATGCCAAACGGCAGTGGTGGCAAGCAGGCAAGCAAGAACATGGCGGCCGTGGCGCCCTACAGGAGACTATGCTACAACAACAAAACTAGCATAGACTTTTAATTCTTTCTTCTCACTTTCATAGACAGAAATTTTGTTCTTATCAGAGATCTAACATCAGGACATGATTTTTATTTATTTAGTTGAGAATTAAAGAGAAATCATTACATTTATTTGTGTGTGTGTGTGCATGCCATTGTCTATATGTGGAGGTTAGAGGCCAACTGTGGAGTTGGTCCTTTTCTTCCACTATGTATGTCTTGGGGCTTGACTTCAAGTCAGACTCGGTGGCAAGTACCTTTATCCAATGGGCTGTCTTACTGGCCTGAGAATCTGTCTGCCATCTATCTGTCTATGTGGGTCTCATATAAGCCATGCTGGCAAGGAATTCAAGCTCAGATTGACCTTGAATTTAGGTCTATCCACCAACCGCCACCTCCCAAGTGCAGGGATTGTAAGAATGAGCCATCATGCCTAATTCTATTGAGAATGTCTTCTTCTCTGTTTATGAGAAATACTTTAGGGGGTCTCCCAGACTAAATAAAAGAAGGGTTACTTCTACACAAGCACTGTGGTACTATAACAGTCATCTGAAAACTGGCGTGACAGCCACCTGTGTTCACCCTGTATGATCCCTCCCAAGATTGAACTGGTTCACCTTCTCTCATAGCAGGAGGAACGGACGCTCAGGGAGGGAGTAATGAGGCTCATAAGACCCTGCCCCCTGCTCAGGGATGTAGGAGTGGCTTACAGTTGCCACACTCTTAGAGGTGTGGCTGTTCATGGCTTGTCTTGATCTTGTAAGTCATCATTCACCCACGTTCCTGTACGTAGCCCATAATAAACTCAGTGATTAATTGAACTAGAGTTGGATGGACCCTTTGCTTTTGTCTGTTGTGAGCTTCTTTATCTGGGGGTGAATAGGAAGTGATTTCTGCTTAAGTCACACAAGTGGGTACATGTAAAAGTGGGGATACACTGGACAAAGATATGATCATGTACTGCCTGGAATGGAGAAGGAGGGATGTTTCCTCACCCTTCTCTGAGGAGTGAATAATTGAAAACTTAGAAATTATTTCTGGAATTTTCTGTGGAACAGTTTTTGTACTATGGTTGGCCATAGGTAACTGGAGCTAGGGAAAATTGAGCTGTATGTAAATATGGCTCACTATTCAGGGAAGTCTCAAAGACTGAAATAGCATGAATGGGCCACAGAGTTGTCTTACACTTCAGGCTTAAATGCCACCGTTTCCCCGACATTACAAAAGTCTAGCCCCTCATCCTGTTTTCAGAAGTTCTGCTTCACCTTTAAAAAATAGCTAGTTCAGCCGGGTTTTGGTGGCGCACGCCTTTAATCCCAGCACGCGGGAGACAAAGGCAGGCAGATCTCTGTGAGTTCAAGGCCAGCCTGGTCTACAAGAGCTAGTTTCAGAACAGCCAGAGCTATTACACAGAGAAACCCTGTCTTGAAAAAACAAAAAACAAACAAATAACCAGTTCAAAATAATCCTATAGTAAAGAGGCACAGGCAGAGGAGAGATACAGTGTAGGCTTTCACAACGATCATGGATTGTCATGTCCCGAATCTCATCAACGTACAAAGATACATTCAGTCACAAGGTGAGCATTAAGCTGAAGAACAATACTCAAGGGGCTGTGAGACAACACATTATGTGACAAGATGGAGACAGACAGAACAGAGTTGCAGCATGGGGCATGTACGAATGTCTGAAGGTACTAATGGGGAGAGGGGGGTCACAGCCAAGCATTTGAGGGCTGGGAAGAACTCGGCTCTGCTGCTGCCACGAAGCAGGGGCCTGTCTTCTTGGGACTGCTTTTGTTTTATTTTCTGTGTTGTTAACCTCTGCTCGGCCCCGGCTGTGCTTAACTTGGGGCTATAGGCAGGGGGAGAAGGGCACAACAAATTTAGCGGAAGACCTTTGAAGTGAGTAAAGCAATAAATCCTTGTGCACCACGAGCCTGCCTAGGCTTCCCTAAACCCGGGCATTCAATTTTGTGCAGTGTACACAGTTTGCCAACCCTGCTAGGTCACCAGGAGAACAGCTTGATGTATTGCTATGGGAAGAAAATGCTCTGCCCCTTTCTTCATTCAAATTAACACCTTTTCATCCTGGGTTGACAAGTGACAGATCACCGGAGAATATATCCTGGCTTCAAGTGATTTGATATCTCTTCTCTGTTTTCCCATCTTTATTTTCATCCCTTAGACATAGCAAAGAGAAAACATTATTATTGTGATTGCTGTGGACTCAGGACCTGCTTCCTAAGCTCCACACCTCAGGGCTTGACGTACGGCAGGCATTAGAGTGACGAACGGATAAAGGACTAGATCTGGTCGATAGCTGCAGACTTCCCTGTTTCTCCCCAGAGGGTCACAGGAAGGTTTTGCTTCATTTCACATTTTGACTATTTATTTACATGCCCATTGCCATGGTAGATGATATCTAGAGGACACTGTGTGTGCTACTCAGCTTGCCTTGAATGAGGGTCATGTTCTGGCTGTTGCAGTGTTGGTAGCCCCCTTTTGAAAAGCTCCTCGAATCACAGTGAGTTACTTTATCTGAGCAAAGTCCCTCCCAAGACCAGCTTTTCCTGGTCCACATGAATGGTAAAGACCTAGCTCCCTCACCCAGATGGGGGTGTTCTGCAAGAGCGTTTGAGCTCCGGGCAGTTGTGGAGGTTGCCTGACTCCCTTGCTCCCACTGGTGCTGACTCCACGAGGATGCCATCCCAACCCTCCTGCACACTGCACTCCACCTCAGAACGTGCTTCCCAGGGAGGCCAACTGATCACATTTGTTTTGATTTTAGGTTTAACTCTGGCTTTCTTTCTCACTGACAACAGCATCAGCTAACCTTTATTGCATGTTTGCTCTGAGCTAGAAGCACTGATTTGTCTCACTGAATCCTCACGACAATCCTAGGAAAGGCTTTATTAGAATCATATGAACGAATGAGGCTGGGATGCAAGGATTCCTGTGTGGACACAGGACCAGTTTTACTGGAACGGGAACTTGAACCCTGCTAAGAACTTGAGGTAAAAACAAAGGACACTATCAACAGATGGAAATACACACACACACACACACACACACACACATACACACCATGGAGTTTTATTCAACTACTGTAACCGGAACTTGAACCCTGCTAAGAACTTGAGGTAAAAACAAAGGACACTATCAACAGATGGAAATACACACACACACACACACACACACACACACACACACACACACACACCATGGAGTTTTATTCAACTACAATGAATAAAATTATGTCATTTATAGGAAAATGGATAGAACCAGAGGCCAGCAAGCTAAAAGAAATAAAACTCAAAAAGCTAAATGCACATTTTTTTTCCACTTCGTTGTAATTTCTTGATGTTTTCCACCTATGAGGGCTGTTTAGGGGGAGGAAGATGAACAGCAGTGGGGGGCGGGAAAGTGAGCCGGTACAAATTACATATACATACAACATATCAGGCCTGGTTGCTGAAGCCTATAACCCCAGCTATTCGGAAAGATAAGGCTTGCAGCTTCAAGTCCTACCTGGGCTACAGAGAAAATTGAGAGGGAGCTAGGGCAGCTTAACCTGACTCTGTCTCAGAATAAAATATGAAGGGCTGAACTGATCAGCGGTAGAGAGCTTGTCTGGTGTTCATGATGTCCTGCCTTCCATCCTTAGTGCAGAAAGGTTATAACGAAAACCATTGTTTTGTACTGTAGTAAAACCAAAGAAAGATAAATAAATGACAGATATTTTAAAAACTGCTCTGAAGGGCACAGATGCTTTTAGATGAAGATGGTTTGGAACCAATGAGGTGGCATTATTTCTCTTCTAGGGCCCTTTACAATAAGTTAGTAAGTTTCTTAGTATCATAAAAGCTATGAAAAGTCAATAGGGAAACCTACTTCATTTCCTAAACTTATGTTCCATAAATTCTTATATTTAGATACATGAATTGCTTTGGACTCAGCTCTTGCATTAGGCCCGATGAGCTGAATCTCAGTGCAGCCACTCGCTGAAGTTCCCAACACAAAATCCTAGTTGAGCTGACACCAAGAAAACAGGACTGATACATATATGAACTCACAAAGACCACGGCAGCATGCACAGGGCCTGCGTAGGTCTAACCAGTGGGGTCCCAGTGCCGAGAGGGGAAGTAGATGCGAGCCTCCATCCCTAACACAGATGCAATCAACACAGTTGATAATCGCTCACAAAGGAATAATTACTTTTCTCTAATGAAGTCTCACTGGGTATACAAACCACACATAAGGGCAGGCCCAATGCCCAGCAGTAGATGCCCAACATAAGGTGAACTCAATGGTAGTTTTTGGAGTTTTTTTTCTTCCTTACAGATCTTTTGCTTATATATTATAGTTCCCAATTTTGTCTTTATAGAACTTCTATGTGTGGGAATGTGTGTCTCTGTCTATATATTTATTTCTTTTGCTTTTTCTTTGACTGTTTTTTCCCCCTGTTTGTTTTATTCTTTTCTGGTTTATTTGGTTTTATTTTTTTTATCTTATTATTATTTATGTGCCTGTTTGCATTATAATAAGAGAGAAGAAAGAATGTGGATTTGGGTGGGTGGGGAAGTGGAGAAGACAAGTTGCAGGATGAGAAGCCTTAATCTATTTTCAAGTTAAAAAATGCTATAAGAGTGAGGATGTCATGGAAACTTGCACCAAGGTTCCCGGAAGCTGTTGAGGCCAAGTAACACGTAGCAGGCTCAGATTCCCGAGAAGG